GCACTCCACTCTCTACACATGCACACACATACAGACCAGGACATGCAGAGCACACAGTTTGGCCACTGCAGTCCCTGCCCCATATTTGGCCTCATTGAGAAGTCAGACGGCTGCGAGCCAACAACTAATGACCCGCTTCTTTTTCTGCATCTGACTTACTAGTTTTGCAGAAAGACAGGGAACCAGGCGCTGGGGTAACTGAACACAGGGGATGTGCAGAGCTGAACTCACAGCATCTTCTTCCTCTCTGCTGCTGACAGTCACAGCACGAGAGCAAACATGGAAATCAAACACAGCTCAAATATACCATCAATACACAGCAACAGTTCAAAGTGGTTTCGCTGACAATCGGACGGTTGAGAATGTATATTTGTGGTCAATTCTGTTAATTTGAGCTGAAAATCGTGTTGTATTGAGTTCAATTGTGTCACCATGATTAGGACGTTACCCACGCAGCCCAGACCTACATTTGGTATCTATGTCAACAGAGCAACAGCAGTTTTTCCACAAACACACCATGACAAAAAAAAATTGATCATTTCAATCCATGAACGTTTGTGGGACGCTGCTTTGCGCAATTGGCTGCCGCGTTTCGTGCACCAAACATACAGTGAATTCACTTGACAGTATATTCTGGGAAGTGCATTGAGGCATCTCGAAGACGTGATGAGGCGCTGTGACAAATGCAAGGATTATGATTATTTTATTATTGTTTCCGCTCTTATCCTATCAATAGACAGTAACTGACAGGGAATATAGAGACACAGAAAGACGGATGGATGGATGGATGGATGGATGGAGAGAGACTTGGATGCGCAAATGCAGACACACACAGGCAGAGAGAGAGATAGAAGCACTTTAGACACAGATACACATTACTGCTGCTGTATCTGTATCTGTATTCCTCTCCCTGTCTGTGTTGTGTGGTGTATCTCGCTCTTTCTGTATGTGTCTGTCTGTCTGTCTGTCTGACTCTCAGTGTATGTCTGCGTGTGTGTCTGTATCTCTCTCTCCGTTCTCCTGCCTGTGTGTATGGAACTTATTTCTCCCTGAATTGACCGTTCAAGAGGTTCAAGGGTCTAAGACAAACCCAGCTGCGTATTTTGATGGCGGGATGTGGGTTCTGTAAAGATAATTAGGCCAGCAGAGTGTTCATTCTCTAAACCAATCAGATGTTTCCAGCATTTTGGGAGGAACTGGAGCCAACCAGCGCCAGAGAAGAAATCGTGTCAGCAGAAGCCGGGCAGACAGAGGATTTGTAGGTCACTGTTTCTAAAGCAAAATCAGCAAGTAAACATTGGCAGCTCAGAAAGAGAGAGAGAGAGAGGCGGGCATTCAACCCCATCAACAACTGAACATTGAGAGCAACAGAAAGTTAGGGTGAGGGCATCAATTAACTCAGTAACACTTACACCAATGTTTAGTCTCAGCATCAGTTCAATTTTCATCTGCAGATTTGTGGAGACCGATTGTTTATAACAAGAAAAACAAATTGCTTTCACACAGCGTCCTTCACATATCACATACACAAGCGCATCTCTGTTTATATAATACTGTACAATTATAATCCTTGCATTTGATATTGCGCCTGATCACATCCTCTTGGCGTCACAAAGCGCTTCCCAGAGTATGTTCTAAGGTGAAATGACTGTATATTTCTGGTCAAAATGCGGCAGCTAATTGTGCACAGCAGTGACCCCACAAGCAATGTTTATACTATGCAGGCAATGAATCCATAGTACCCACATCTGATGGAAAATGTGGAGATTCTACAAGAACATCACTCATTCACAAACTTTTATCTAGCAAGTGGGTATGAACCTGCTTGATAGTCGATTGATGGATCGCTTTCTAAGGGTAATAAGCCCTTCTCTCTCTGTGTGTCTGAAGTTTGTAGTGCATGTAGGTTTATCACACTCCCTCTCTCTGTATCTCTCCCTCGGTGTGTCTCTTTCTGTCTGTGTGTGTCTGTGCATCTCTGTATGTGTGCATAGATACGCACCTCTCTCCGCGTCTGCAAATCCATAACACAATTGAACTCAATACAACATGGTTTTACATATGTGTTGATATCTGTATCTCCTTCTGCATCTGTATGTACATTTGGAAAATATCCTGGTGCCTGTCTGTTTACAGCAGTATCTATTTTTATGTCTGTGTGTGTGTGTGTGTTTCTCTCTGGCTGTGTCCATGTGTAGGGACGGGTATATCTCTGTCTCTCGCTGTGTCTCTCTCTGTCTCTTTCTCTCTCTCATTCTCTGTATATCTGTGTCCCTCTATTCCACTTTGCCGAGTTTCACTGAAGTCCAGAATGGAAATGGTGCATTTGTGGATACGCTGCTCTTTGTCGTTTAATACAGATATAAATTGCAGGTGTTTGCTCTGTGGGTATCCAGCCTATTGTGGTGACAAAATCTAATTCAATAAAACATGGTTTTACAGCTTAAACTAACAGGATTTTATAACAAACTTACATTCTCAAACATCGGAGTTTCAGTGAAACAAACGGCACCAGTTTGAGCTGTTGCTATGCATTGGTGGCATGTTTGAGTTGTGTTTGATTTCCATGTTGTTTTGTCCGTTTGCTTTCGTGCTGTGACTGTCAGCAGCAGAGAGGAAGAAGCGGCCATGAGTGCGGCTTTGCACATTCCCTGTGGTTAGTTACCCAAGCGCCTGCTTACCTGTCCTTCCGTACAAACAGTGAGTCAGATGCAGAATACGAAGCAGGGTTTTCGTTGTTGACTCAAAACCCTCTGAATTTTCACTGAGGCCAACTATGCAGCAGGAAGGGAATTTCCACAAACACACCATTTGCAATCAGGGCCTCAATGAGACTGAGCAGTTTATAGAATTCTCTACCCCAAAGGGATTTAGATGCTCATTCCTTGAACATATTCAAGGCTGAGATTGATTGATTTCTTCCCGATAAAGGGATTAAAGGATATGCGGATAAGGCGGGTAGTGGAGTGAGAATAGATCAGTCATAACTCTATTGAATGGCGGGACAGGCTACAGGGTCCGAATAGCCTAGTCCTGCTCCGAATTCTAATGTTCTTATGTAACTGAGGCCGAACCAGCATTTTATAAATATTCAACATAATCTGCTGAATTTTTAATTCTATGCCTCTATTTATAAAACCTAGTAACCGTATGCATTTTAGCAGCTGTGTCAAACTGTCCTGCTACCTTCGGAGATTTGCTTATGTGGATCCCCAGGTCTACCTATTCATTTTCACCCTGCTCATAACATCTCGCTTACACTTCCTCTCCTCATACTTCCTACCAAATTGCAACACTTCGCAATAAACATTATCTTCCACGTTTCTGCCCCGTTTACCAATCTGTCTTAGCCCTCTTGGATTCTAATGCTACCCTTGTCACCATTAGTTACTTATCCTAATTTAGTACCTTCTGCAAAATGGAAATTGTGCTCCCTATATCCAGGTCCAGAATTTTAAATATAACTCAGAAAGAGCAATAGTCCCAATAGCAACCCCTGAGGGACACGACTACACACCTCCCTCCTGTCAGAATAGTTCTCACTATCACTCACTACTTTCTGTCTCCTAGCCAGTTCTGGATCCATGTTGCCGCAATCTCTTTAATACTGTGTGCTTCTATTTTGTTTATAAATCTCTGATAAAATCTCACAGATCTGGACTCCTCCACCTATCCAACCTTCCGTTAAAACTCTCCGATCCCGTACGCAACCTAGGCGTCAGGTTCAACCCCATCCTTGCTCCCCCACATCCGGTCCCTCACCAGCACCGCTTTCACCCCGACTCATCGGTCCGTCTCCGTCAATATCTCACTGCAATAGCCGCTGAAACCCTGGTCCATGCCTTTGTCACTTCTCGGCTGGAATATTTCAATCGCCTACTTGCCGGTCTCTCATTTACTACAATCCATACAGTCCAACTCATTCAGAGTTATTATTAAGCCGTATTTTTCTAAGTGAGAATTTATATTGTCCAGAATTCGAGTCTACAGAAATTTCCCTACTGCTGGCTGGCCTGCAGTCCTCAGGTTTAACTTTTCTGCCTGATTTTGCACAGGGGATTAACGTTTGCAAATTTCCAGTCCTCTGGCACCACGACAGTGTCCAAAGAGCATTGGAAGATCATGGTCAGTGCCTCCGCTGTTTCCACCCTTGCTTCCCTCAGTTACCTGGGATGCCTTCCTTCGTGAACAGGTGGCTTATCGTTGTTGAGCATCGAGAACCTTTATAGTAACTCCTCTCTGTTGATTTTTATCCAATACCTGTTTATACGCCTGCGATATTGCGGTATTGCTTGCAAAAGGCGCTGTTCCATACAAGATTATTAATTATTATGATAAAAAGGGTTTAACCCCATAAAACTCCGCTGTCCGCTTTAAGAGTGGGAGCGACCTCCTCTTACAGATGACCCGACGCTGCGAAGTTTCTGGTGACAATTAAATACTTTGACGTCAATTAATAATCGGAAATGATTGAACTCACAACTGACTTCACGAGACGTCCGTCGCGCGAGTTTTGGTTTGTTTTTTTAAAACACAACCGAAAAAAAAATTGAAACGAAAAGGTTGGACCTAGATGATGACGTGTCACAGGGAAGGTGCCGGTCTCGAACCTCCGGCCCACCCGAGTCCGGGAGGGAGACGGCAGGTGTCTGCGCACAGCGCGTACGGATGTTGGTGACTTCACAACCTAGTCTGAGTGGGGGAGACGGGGGATATTGATCATGTGAGGCTTCAAGAGAAACAGATTTTTTTTCGCAAAGTCCCCGGATCCCCGAGGTTTAAAGAGCAAATAGTTTACTTAACTCCAATTAATGAAGACATGAAGCGGGTTAGAAACCCTTCAAATCCCGGGAGATTAAAGTGTATCGCCGCAAAACATTCCTAATTTTGCATTGATCCCAATCACATCCAATGGGATTTGCATCGACTTTGCGTTTAAGTAATAACCCGCTCTCTGAGTACAACATGGGAAACAAGTTTAGAAGCCCCCAAATCCCCGGGGTTTAACGTAAAATAGTTTATTGAAGTCTAATGTCTGCATGAACAATAATGATATAAATATGGTTTTACTCGAAGTTTCGGTTTTGATTTTAACCCCAAACCCGGTGACAAGTAGGGGAAACTGGTTATAAATTCCCCAGATCCCCGGAGTTTAAAGTACAACTTGCAAAACATTTCTATTTCTGCACTATAATTATAATTAATAGCTATTAAGCACTGTGTTTCAAGCGTTCAAAATTATATTTTATATATTTATAAACTGAGTATTACACACGGAGTATAAAGTATTGATAATGTGGTTAATATTAAACCTAATCTGCATTGTTTCTAAGCTTGGATACCACTCTCACACTCAGTCCACATCTGGATACCCGCAGTGACTCCAGGTGTCTCTTTCCGCATAAACTGAACTGATTCCCATCCAGCCTGCAACACATTAAACAAAAAACATACCATAATAATTTGAACTGTAAACTGTTAATATTGCATTTCAATTAAAAAATAATTAAATAAATAAGCAAGTAAATAAACAAGTAATACATAAATAAACAGCAGACAGACAGACAGAGAAAAAAATGAACAAACACCTGAAACAGGATCCATTCTGATACCCAGCCCATTCTCTGTGTGTTTATCACATTAGACACGGGCAAACACTCACCTGGTCTCCTCCAGGCTGGTGCAGGACTGTATGAGGCGACGAAGGGCCGGGACAGACTCGTCTGTGAAGGAGTTATATTCCATGTTTAGCTTCCTCAGTGAACGGCTATCACTGAGAGCAGAGATCAGATTACCAGGACAGCCATCGGTCAGGCTGTTATCCCACAGTCTGTAGATCAGTGACACAGAGAGATAACAGGAATCAGAAGAAACACAGTGTGTAGAAGTGAGTCTGGGCCACTGCAGGCCTCAGTGGAAGCCTGAGTCTGACACACACTGGGGCATGTCCAGATGGAAAAGGAGACAGTACCCAAACATTACTCACAATGACAAACTGTGGAGGTTTCGCTGGTTAATCTCCAGCCGTCATCCCAACACACACTGTGCCCCCACCCGCCCACTCCCAAGCCCTGTCTGTTAGTATCTGCCCCAATCATCTACAGCTGGGACGGGCAGTTGTCATCGCCACACGTTACCACAGCTGCTGTTCCTAACACATGGTTCAGATTCCTTGTTAATCCATGTTTAGTTGGTGATCACTGGGATGGCTGATGGCCTCACACTGTCACACCGAATCCTGATACAATATCAGCACTAACTGATCAACCACTGTCAACAAAACATATTGAAATATAAAAGGTTCTTAAAAGGCTGGATAAATTAGACACTGAGGGATTATTTTCCCTGGTATAAGAATCTACAACCAGGGGTCAAAGTCTTAAAGTTAAGGGCCAAACTTTTAGAACAGAGTTGAGGAAATATTTCTTCACTCAGAGGGCAGTGAATTTATGCAACTCACTACCCCAGAAGGCTGAATATGCTGAGTCCTTGAACATCTTCAAAGCTGAGACTGATAGGTTTTTAAAAAATAGAGTGATTAATGTATATAGGTAATTAACGTTAGGTCAGAACATCAGCCATGATCTTATCAAATGGCGGGGCACAGGCTCGAGGGGTCGAATGTCCTACTCCTGCTCCTATTTTTATGTTCTTAACACCCTGAGATATCGGGGAATTCAGCCTCGGGATATTATATTCTCATACAGTCTGTTACTTACCCCAGGCTCTTTATCTTACACTCCGGATTCCTCAGCACCTCACACAGTCGCTTCACTCTGAATCTCCCAGTTGATTACCACCCAGGTACAGCTCTGTCAGTGAGCAGTTTGTACTCAGAGCGGAGGCGAGATCCTCGGTACAATCAGCTGTCAGTTTGTTACCCCTCAGCCTGGAGATCAGAGACACAGAGAGATTACAATAACATCAGTCTCGTGCGTTGATCCTAGGTGCTCTGTGCTGAATGTCGTCCTCTTTAACGTCTACTTGCTCCCTCTTAGTGGCATCATACGCAGACAAGGGGACAACGTCCGTAAGTACTCGGGTGACACCCATCTCTAACTCTCTGCCTCCGCCCTCGACTGAAGGACCAATGACGTCCTCACAAACGCTCTAGCAGGGATCAGAGGAAACTCAGTGTTTATTATTGTGTATTATAGAGTCTGGAGATGAGAGGCACAGAGAGACTACATGGATCAGAGGAAACACAGTGTGTAGATGTGAGTCTGGGCCACTCCAGGCCTCAGTGGAAACCGAACCTGACACACACTGGGGCAGGTCCAGATGGACAAGGAGACAGAAGCTAGACATTGCTCACACTGACAAACTGGGAGGTTTCGCTGGTTAAACTCCAGCCGTCACCCCAACATACACACGCCCAACCAAGCCTGTCTGTTAGTATCTGCCCCCAATCCTCTGCAGCACGGATGGGCAACTGGTAGCTCGCAGGGTGGGGGGAGGGACTATTATGCGCTGGTGCAATGTGGCCCAGGGCAGCTTGTTGTCCATCGCTGCTCTACAGGATTATTTGAGTTGGGAAGGTCCCTTCCTGTGTAGAGAGAGTGAGCTCCGTACAAGACAAACAAACACGTGTCAAACACTCAGTAGGTGATATAGTAACCATTAAACAGAGTCATGGTTTCCCACATTTGACAACAATAATCCTCCGTTTGGCCACAAAACACACAGTCACTACACTGCGCAAGTGTCCTGTGAAACACTTTGAGACGCCTGGATGACGTGATTATTCGCTGTATCAAAGGCCGTAACTATTGTGACTGATTATTATCATTAACGTTATTACCATCCCCACTGTGTGCAGGGATTGGGGGGAGGGAAGGAGGGAGTGAGGGAGGAAGAGACGGATTGTCAGGTCTGGGACAGGATCTTTCGGATGAGATAAACGGGGATGATTTTCGTGTCTGGAGTGAGCTGGGGGAGGAGCTACTCCTGGCCACAGGTCACCACAGCTGCTGTTCGCACCACATGGTGCAGATTTCCTTTTAATCCATGTTTAGTTGGTGATCACTGAGATGGCTGATGGCCTCACACTGTCACACCGAGTCCTGACACAATATTCAGCACCAACTGATCAGCCACTGTCAATAACACACTGAGATATCGGGGGAATTCAGCCTCGGGATAATATATTCTCACGCAGTCTGTTACATACCCAAGACTCTGTATCATACATTCGGGTTCCTCAGAGCCTCACACAGTCGCTTCACTCCGGAATCTCTTAGATTGTTAGCACCCAGGTGCAGCTCTTTCAGTGAGCGGTTTGTACTGAGAGCGGAGGCGAGATCCTCGGTACAATCAGCTGTCAGATTGTTAACTTCCAGGCTGAAGAACAGAGAAACAGGAACATAGTAAACACAGTCATCATTACTTAACTCGGGGGTTCCAGCACTCGCCTCGCAAGCGAGAGACATGGGTTTGATTCCGAGCGAAGCATTGGGTAAGTCTATTGCTCCACAAGCCGCTGTTTACCAGCGGTAAATAGCAATCCGGATGTTAGTCAAATGGCCTGTCGCCATTCGGGGGATCGAAATTCCTTGAAAAATACGGCAGGGTGGGATGCTGAGAGATCCAGAGCACAGCCGGAGAGGAGCGTCTTGAGGTGGGTCTTGAACTCTATCCTCTATACGATGGGAAGCCAATGGAGTTGAACAACAACAACAACATCAACAAGATTTCATTTATAGAGCTCCTTTCACGTCGGGAGGACGTCCCAAGGCGCTGGTCAGTTTGGTCTGGACAAGGATGCGTGTGATAGAATCAAGGAGCCTTGCAAGCCTAGTGCTCTAACCACTGAGTTACAGGAAACCACAAGCTGGATGTCAAGCTCGCCGGAACTCGCTGAGCGGAGGGAACGGACAGGATGGTAGGGATTAAGATGTCGCAGATGAAGCGGAGTACAAGACCGTGGAGGGTTCTGAAGGTGAGGGCATGGGGATCTTGAACTCAAACCTATGTGTGATGGAGAGCCAGTGTAGTTGGGCAAGGTGGGGGTGATAGAGTCGCGGAGCCTGCTACGTGAGCGGACACGGGCTGCAGAGTTAATTCTGGAAGATGTTCAGCCTGTGGAGGGAGGCTTTGGTTAACTCGACCAGCAGGGCTTTTCTACACTCGACCGTCGATGTAATGAAGGCGTGCATGAAGGTCTCGGCGGCCTGCGGTGAGAGACAGTGGCAGAGTCGGGCGATGTTGCGGAGGTGGAGGAAGGCAGAGCGGGTCATGGCAGAGATGTGGACTTGAAAGAATAGTTGAGGGAAAAACAAGACCACAAGTTTCCGGACTGGCTTCATAAGGTGGAGTTTGCAAACATGAATGGTGATGCTGTCAGCGCCTAAGGTGTGTTGGCGCTGACCGGAGCCATTCAGGAGAGCCTCCATCTTGTTGACGTTCAACTGAAGAAAGTTAACTGTCATCTAGGACTTGAAGTCTGACAGACATTCCGTTGGACAGCAGTCCATTCTGGAGTCAAGGATGGAGGCAGAGAGATTGGGTGTCATCCGCATACATGTGGAAGTTGACCCCATGTCTGTGGACGATGTCAACAAGGGGTAGTATATAGATATTGAATAGGACGGGACCAATAACAGAGACTTCGAGAACCCCGCCCCAGAACTTCCGAGGGCTGGAGACGAAACCGATTGAGGAGATGAAGTGCAGGCGATGTGAGAGACACGATGTGAACCAGTCAAGGAAGGCGACGTGAGTTTGAGGTGTTAGGAGAGGCGGTGGATCCGGATAGAGAATTCGACGGCGTCGAAAGCAGCAGAGAGGTCAAGAGGAGGAGGAGGAGGCAGGGGGAACCATGATCGCAGATGCTCAGAACATCATTGGTCACTTTGACTAGGGACGTTTCTGTGCTGTGGGTGGCAAACAAGCCCGATTTGTGGGGTACGAGATGGGAGTGACGGGACAGGAAGGTGCGAAGCTGAGAAGCAAAAACTCGTTCCAGGAGGAGACGAAAGGGAGGTTGGAGATGGCGTGGTAATTAGGGGAAGAGAGGGGCTCAGGGAGGTTTTCTTTAAGGATGGGAGTTATTGCGGCCGTTTTTAATGGGGGTGGGAAAAGTACCAGAGGACAGGGATAGGTTTACGATATCAGTGAGCAAAGGAGCAAGGACATGGAGCTCCACAGCAATGTCTCCCCGCACTCAAAAAACAAGTCGCCTCTGGCCAATGTGAAGAGGCCACAGGCTTTCTATGTCATCCACAGGGCAGTAGATCGTCCCCCAGCAGCCGTCCAGAGCAGAGAGTTCTTCCTGGGCACTCCCTTAACCTCTGTGTGTGACACAGTAAAGAAATAATTGACCCTTACCCAAATACAACACGAAGCCCCCCAAAGCTGCCTCTGCACTGCAAATCTTCAGGCTTTACAGTCCCAGGGAATGTTTGGGATAGTGTAAAGGGAGCAGACTGTAGGATTCATAAGTTACGATGAAAGGGAAGGGACGATGGCTCTCGATGACGTGACAAGCGACTCTATCAAACGTCAGGTTTATTAACATTATTATTATTATGTATTCTACAATCTGGAGATCAGAGACACAGACAAATACAGGGATCAGAGCAAACCTAACATTGAGTGATATTAAAGACACTGGAATGACCTGGGCATTCTGGGACAGGGGACAGTGACACCGTGACATGTTTGCCATTTACATGTGAAAATTGCCCTGAGTGTGGAACAGGACTAGAGCATTAGGGAGGACTTTGGCGAGTTTCTGGCTCAGGCATCCCAGAGAGTGTGGTGGGGTGTTGGGTGGGGCGTGACTGACTGCTGGGCTGCTGGAGTCCTGTAGCTCAGTGGTTAGAGCACTCGCTTTGCAAGTGAGAGACCTGAGTTCAATTCCAGACAGGGCGAAACCTTGGGCAAGTTTCCTTACTCCATACACAGCCCTAATAATAATCCCTCCAAAACAAAAAGAATAATAAATTGGTCATTTTCAATCCACGACTGTTTGTGGGACATTGCTGTGCGCAATTGGCTGCCGCGTTCGCCCACAAATATACAGTCCATTCACTTTACAGTGTGTTCTGTGAAGCGCTTTGGGACGTCCTCCCGACGTGAAAAGCGCCATATCAAATGCAAGGATTATTATTGTTATTATAACCATTTTAAGCTGCATAATATCACCTGCGAGAGAGAGGGAGAGAGAGGAGAGATAGAGAGTTCCGTTTGGGTAACTCCCCTTCCGCTCCCCCCCACCCCCTCCCAAACCCGCACCCACCTCCGCATCACCTCCACTACTAATCTCTATATACTGTGTCTCAAAGGGTTAACAGGGGCTCAGTGGGAACAATCGCTGATCCCAGCGATTTTCTCTCCACATTTAGAGGCAGTCTTTGTAGGGTTTAGGGTCTCAGCATTAAAACTTTCCCCACCTTCTCGGGAGAAAATAATCTGTGTTTAGAGTCAATTACTGACCCCAATTTCACAGTCTGTTACTCACTCCAGTCTCTGTATTTTACACTCCGGGTTCCTCAGAGCCTCAAACAGTGGTTGCACTCCTGAATCTCCCAGATAATTGACTCTCAGCCTGAAACAGAGACAGAAACACAGTGAATATAGTGTAACACCAGAATACAACCTGACATGCATATACAGCCGCCTTTCACGTGGTGAGTAAGTCCCTATTCACTGTGACCAGAGTCAGACACACGTTTACCGAAACATAGAATCAAAGAATTGTACAGCCGAGAAGGAGGCCATTCTATACATCGTGTCTCTGCCGGCCCTTTGAAAAGTGCTTCCAAATCAACCCCATTCCCCTGATATCTCTCTCCTCATTGCGCTCATCAAAATCACCTCCCCCACTCTCTCTCTCCCACTACAGCCCTGATCAACCCCACTTTCCCGCGACCTCTCTATCCCCATAGATATGATCACCCTCACTTTCCCGCTCACTCTCTATACCCCTTATCAACCCCATTACGATCCCTCCCAATAGCCCTGATCAACACTTTACCGCCGCTCTCCCGCCCCCCCACATAGCCCTGAAACGTTTTCACCACAGATTATTATCCGCTTCTCTCTTAGAAGTGTTTATCGAATCGGCAATGATTCCAGAACCTAACAACCCCTGTGTGAAAATATTTGAAAGTTGCATTTTTAGCGACTTTCACATCAGGCGGACGTCCCAAACCTGGACCATGAGGGGTTTGTATCCGAGCTGACGTTTGGGATCAGAGAGGGTTGGAGGGCAGGGGATTGGGGTGGAAGGGCGACTGAAGTAGAAGCTTTAGAAACGAGGTTTTAGGGTGTTTAGGAGGGGGCCAGGCTGAGTGTCTCCTTGATGGAGTTCCAGAGGGTGGGGGCAGAGAGGCTGATGATACGGCCGTTGATGGTTGTGCAGGCAGTGCTGGGGACATGGAGCAGTTCACTGGCCGCCGAGCGGAGGGAGTGGACAGGTTGGTATCGTTGGGAAACAGCACTCCCTCCCGATCACACCATCCAGATTTCCAGGTCACTGGGTTGGCTCCTTCTCCTCTAGGCTTCTCTTCTTCTCTGGTATAACAAGCTTTCTGGGGGCCCCATCACCAGCACTTTGTGAAACAGTAAAGGGCTTAATGAAGCTCGCCTCAAGTATAACACAAAGCCCACCAAAGCTGCCTCGGTACTGCAAGTACTAAGGCTTTACAGTCCACGGGCACAGTTTAACAGCCTTCCACGCGGCCGGTACTCATAGCCCGCTATAAGAGTATAAGTGACCTGCGTGTGAGAAAAGGACAGTGGGAGCAGCTGATGGCATGGGCGGCTGTTCAGGCTGTGAGGAGCCGGAACAAATGCTGTCAGGATCAAAGGCCGAGCGACTTAGTCAGCGCGTGTGTAACCTGGTAAATTAGCCAGTGGCTGGATGGCGTCTCCTCTCAATGGTAGACACCAACTCCTGCCGGTTGTTAGCCCAGTTGGTTGATAAGGCTGCCTCCATCTATTCATTCTGGGGCATGAGGGATGAGGGCAGGGAGGAGTTTGCACCCTAGCTGGGGTTTGGGGTCGAGAGCTTTACAGCGCCGGTAATTGGCGTGGGAGGGTGTCTGATGAGGAAGGTTTTGGATAGGCTTGGGATGAGGTAAGAGGAAGGCAATGGGGAAGGGCTCCCGGATACAATTCCAGAGGGTGGCGGCAGAGAGACTGAAATTCCTACCGGCTGATCGGTGGGGGGGGGGTGCTTTTGCTGGGAGAATAGGACAAAGGAGGACTCCGGCCTAACAGCATGGTTCAGGTGCGTCCTGGCGGCCTGAGCTGGGGGGAAGTTCAGAAGTTTAGAGGTTAGAAAGGTTTGCGTGCGTTAGAGACGCGGAGGACATGATACTCGTTTCCTGTTTGAATAAACCAGAAACACTGAGTGACGGCTCTGAGCGTAAACTGCGTTCTGTCTAGGATCATGTTACTATCTCGTCAATAAAATCGGGAATTAGGAATCAATCCCAATGACATCAGCAATCTTGGAATGCTACCAAAGGGCTCAGCGTGTGGAGTAGCCAGGCGTATAGGGTAATGTCAGCCATTCACCTCCCAATCCCTTTGAAATGCGAGGAATAAGAATACGATTTACAAATATAGTAAACTTACAACAAGTCCTGACATTTGTCCAGACCAGGAATGAGACGCTGGAGACCCTCTTTCTGAATGTAGCAGTTACTCAGATCCACTAGTCTTATTGAGTCACATAGTCCAATGGCTTGAGACACCACAACACAGACTATCGGTGTGAGGCTCAATGCTTTGAATGGAGATTCATCACCCAATGTTAGGGTGTGTTCAGAGCCCATTGTGACCTGTGCCAGGGCTTGATTCTGAGACTCAAACAGGCAGTGGAGTGTGTTCAGCAGCTTCCTTTTCCCAGTGAGGTGTTTGTGTGTCTGATCTGAGTTTTAAATTTCTCCTTCAGCCAATCGATCACCGCGCAGGTTGTCTGATGGACAAATGGCCCCAAAAATTCCTGCAGTGGCTGAGGTGCCCGTGAGGAGGAGAGACCCGCCAAAAATCGCAGGAATATCTCAAACCGACCGTCATCATCCCTGTCAGCACGGGCCAGACATCTCGTGATGGTTCTTGGATCTGGAGACAGGAACTGAGCGAGTGCGGCGACAAACTCCTGTACGGTGAGGTGCGGAAATGTATAGACCACGCTTTGCTCTGAAGACTCTCTCTCTACAAGTTCCATGAGAAAGTAGGAGACGAACTGAGAAGGATGGAGGTTAGAATGGTTCAGATCTTCAGTATTAAAGACAATGTTACTCTGGGAGACCCCAGTGAATGCCATCTCACCAATTTTCAGCATCACATCACGGAGACTATTGCTATCCATCTTGACACTGTGATGTGTTAGAATGTGGTAGATATAATGGGAGAAGAGTTGTGTGATGGTCTTGGGAAGTAGCTGTTTGTTGCTGTGTTTCCGTCTAAAGAAGGGTTCCAGAGACAGAGCGAGGATCCAGCAGTAGGACGGGTTGTAGCTCATGGTGAGCAGAAGCTCGTTCTCCTCCACGTGGCTGTAAACAGCAGCCGCCACCTCCTGATCTTCAAAGAACTTATGAAAATATTCCTTTCTCTCTTCACCCACAAATCCCAGGATTTCAGCCCAGACGCTGACCTGAGCCTTTGCCAATAAATGTAATGCAGTGGGGCGGCTGGTCACCAGCACTGAGCATCCCGGCAGCAGTTTTTTCTGTACTAAACTGTACAGAATATCAGACACTTTACAGCGGAATTCAGGGTCTGTGCATCTGCGCTGAGGATCTGTGTCTCTCCGTCTGTCAGCGAAATCAATCCTTGCCCTGAATTCATCCAAACCATCAAATATAAAGAGCAATGTCTCTGGGTGTTTCCACAGCTCGTCCAGAACATCACTGAGGTAAGGATACTGCTCCAGGATCAGACGGCTCAGGGTTGCTCTGTCGTTAAGTCTGTTTAGGTCTCGAAATTTAAAAATAAATAAATAGTGAAAGTGAGGATAAATTTTGCCTGTGGCCCAGTCGTGGACAATCTTTTTCACCATGGTTGTTTTTCCAATCCCGGCCACTCCACTCACTACTGCGGAAGTCCCTGAATGAGAGTCAAAACTGCTTCCCTGGGAAGAAGGTACATGGTTTCCTCTTGAGAAGCTGCTGTGGAACAGTTTATCAGTTCGGATTTTCTCCAGGTCTCTCCAGAGTTGCTTCTGTCTGCACTCCTCGTGGTCTCTGCCTCGCGCCAGCAGCTCATGTTCTACCAGTTTCCGGTCACGTCGATCAGAAATGATTGTCAACTCCGTGAACTGATCAACCAGCTGAAACGTCCTCACCTTCTCCTTTATCAGGATGGTCTTCACTTCCAGTCTTTCAGTCTGTCTCTGCAACGTCTCCTTGTGCAATCGCTGAACGGCTTCATGTGGAAAATTAAGTAATCACCAAGTATACAGGAGTTATGAAACATAATTGTTTTATGAGCATCATAAACAATAATACATACTTTCGCTATGAGGCACTTTAAGGCAGGAGGACATCCCAAAGTGCTGTACAAGATTGAATTGAAAGTGTAGTGACTCTGGTTTTGGACAAACGCAGCAGCCAACTTGCTTACAGCAACGTCCCACAAACAGGCGGGAATTAACTGCGCAAATTGATTTGAGGGATGTTTGGCCAGGACACGGGGAGAGAGAAACTCACTTCTCTTTTGAAATCGTGCCATGCGATCTTTGATGTCCACCCGAAGAGGCCAGACAGGACTAACAGGATTAATGTCCCAATGGCGGCTTCTCTGACAGTGCTGCACATCCCAGGACTGTATTGGAACGTCACCTCGCTCTGCTGATGTGAACTTGGACCCACAACCTCTGTCTCTGAGACAAGAGGAACAGCAACTGAGCCAAGCAAACAAGGGGCAAACAATGTGAATTAACTCACACCACGGCAGGTATTCAGGAAATTATATTTTGACTTGTAATAAGCCATCTTTGTCTCAGAGTCATAAAATCATGCAGCAGAGCAAGAGGCTATTCCACCCATCGTGTCTGCGCCGGCTCCGAAATCAGCAATCCAACTCAATCCTACTGGCCCGCTTTCTCTCCATATCCCTGCCATCCTGTCCTCCCCAAATACCCATCTACCTCTCTCTTAAAATTTGCTATTGAATCGGCTTCCACTCTCCTTTCAGGTAATGCATTCCGGATTCCAAAAACTCGCTGGGTGACATTTATTTCCTAACCTCCCCTCTGTTTCTTTTAACAACAATCTTAAATCGGTGTCATCGGGTTGCTGACCCACATGCTAATGGAAACAGTTTTTCCCGGTTCAACCTATCAAATCCTCTCATGAACTTGAAGACTTCTATTAAATCCCCTCTTAACCCTCTCTGCTCTAAGGAGAATAATGTTAGTTTCTCTAACCTCTCCTCATAACCAAGCTCCTTCATTCCTGGTACCATCCTTCTAAACTTCCTTCGCGCCCACTCCAATGCCTTAACATCTTTCTTAAAGTGTGGTGTGCAGAAATGAACGCAGTCTCCAACTGAGACCTAGCCAGCATTGTATAAATATTCAACTTAACCTCCTGACGTTTTAATTCTATGCCCCTATTTATAGAACTTAGTATCCCGTTGCTTTTTTAACAGTTGTATCTTCCTGTCCTGCCACGTTCAGAGATTTGTTTCAGTGGAATTATTATGAAGTAGATCTTTCCAGAGGCACACTGGCTGAAGTAGTTGAGAAAGAGCAAGGATTAGTCAGCCAATTCCGCCACTTACTCCTACCTTTCCTCCGCCAATCCTGCTTATTCCTCCCTCCGCACATCGATCCTTTCTCCTCCCCTCCGCCGTCCCGTCCCGCCTCCATCTCCATCATCCCATTACCTACTCTGATATCTCCTCCCCTCTCTCCTTTTCTCTCTCCTCTCCTCCGTGTTCACCTCCCTCTTCCCGTTCCTCCTGCTCATCACTCCTCCCCTAAATCCTCCCCTCCATCCCTCCTCCACTCCATCACTCTTCTACTCCCTCCTCACTCTCCTTCGCCCTCCTCCCATCCTCTCATTCATCGCCTCACAAATTTCTCTCCCTCCCACCTCTCCCTCCTCCAGCTTCCCCTCGCTGCTCCCATCCCCACTCCCTCCACTCACTCCAGTACCTCTTTCCTGCTTCCCCTCCCTCCAACACCTCCCTCTTCCCCTTTACTCCTCACCTTCCTTCCTCCTCGTCACTCCTGCCCGCTCCCTCCAACACTCCATCCTCCCCTGCCTCCCTCGTCCACCTCCCTTTCCCCCCTTCCTGCACCTCATGTTCTCCGCCCATCTCCCTCCATACTCTATCTCCCTTCTCCCTCCTCCCACCTCCTCCACTCCCTCTTACTTCCTTCCCCCTTTCTATGCTCCTTCCTTCCCTGCTTCCTCCATTACTTCCCTTCAGCACTCCCTCCTCTGCTCCGAACTTTCAACCCTCACTTGTAATTTCTGCGAATCACTTAGGGTTAGGTAAATGGTAAAATGTCAACATGTGTATTTCTGAAGCGATCGATTAATTTCTTTCTTGTCCAGGTCACATACCTGTCAGATAACTGGGGACGTGTGGAACACTCTGGCCACTGCTCACGACCTTTACTAGACAGGCTCCTGTTTGTATAGAGTGAATGGCATTAGTTTGAATGTACGGCGTCTCAATGCAATTGTAATAAAATGTGTTTCTGATCATGGCGTGGATCCCTGTGGAACCTCACTCATTACCTTGGGCCTGGATTTCAGTCAGGATTTTGTTCAGTTTGGGGAAAATGGGCCTCATTTTCGCAAAGGATTCCCACATCATTCTCAGGGCTCGGGAACCTTTCGCCTTCACCAGGATGAGAAGATCTTTGGAGCTTTTTCTCCTCTGCCCAGTGCGTGTGAGCTCAGTGAATGTCTGCAGAGATCAATCATTGAGATATCGAAGAGCGAGTGAAGAGCGAACACTGACAGTGATCAGAAAAACACAGCTCCATTAATGGTTTATACCACAATTTCCAACTCTTCCTACCACCAGATGCAGACCATCCACAACCCTGCAGCTCGTGATCACTCGCACACCAGGCTCCGTGACACCATCCCTCGCATACCCTGCTCCACTGGCTCCCATCGCCCAGAGGATAGTATTAAGGATAGTATTGTCGTCGTCACTGGCCTATCTCCAGTTCTACCTTACAAACCACCTTCACTTAATCTATTTAAACGTTTTCTTCGACCCCCCCGCCTGGCCACCTCTGGTGTACCCCTGCGCTCCATTGTTGGCCCCATCCCCTTCCTCATCTTTGTGATCCCTTTTGCCCATGTCATGCACAGACACGAAGTAAACTCCCACATATAAGGGGATGACACTCAAATCGACTTCTCCTCCTCGAAATGTGACTCCAGGTCCGTCCATGTTATCTCAGTTTGTCTGGAAGATCCCAGGGCCTTGATAAGCGAAAACTTCGTGCAATTCCACGTTGACAAGGCAGAAGCTATACTCATTGAATCCCGTCAATATCTTCTATCCTGTTACTCTGAACTCCTCAACCTCCCTGCCCTGTCCCCCAGACTTAATGAACGAGTACGTAATTTACGGCCACATTGCCCACCAGCGACCGTACATTACCCGCGATGCAGCCGAATGCCTCTTCACTGTTCTCCTCCGTTCCACAAGTCACAGCATCCAACTGATCCGAAAGTCTTCTGCTCACACACTCACCGGCAATAAATTATATGCCTCATGACAGCAGCTAAACTCCGTACCCCATCACTCCAGCGCTCGTCCGTCTCCACTGGTTCACTATCCCTAAGGCCCGAGGCTCTGCAATTCCCTTGGACACTCCCTTCGCCTCGCCCCCTCTCTTCCTACTTTCAGGTCCCTGCTGAAGCGTTTTCCTTTCGACTGCGCCTTTGGTCACCTTCCCCCCGCTTCCCCTTGGCTCGGCTCCGGGATCCGTTACGGTGAAGCCCTCTGAGACGCCGTCCGGCGTGGAGGGGGCTACACAAATCCAATTGTTGTTGTTGTATCGCAAACTAAACTCTGTAACCCATCACCCTAGCCTCGCCAGACTCCACTGGCTCCCCATCACAGAAGCCTTCGCCAGGCTCCACTAGCTCCCTATCACCAAACAGACACCCTACCCCATCACCCCAGCCCTCAGCTGCCTCCACTGGCTCCGTATCGCACACTGCACTCCATATCCCATCAACTCAGCCTTCGCCAGGCTAAATGCCTCCGTAAAACACACTAATCTCTGTACCCCATTACCCCAGCCCACATCAGGCTTCACAGGATCCATGCCACACACTATCCTCAGTGACGCATCAGACCAGCCCTCGCCAGGCACCATTTTCTCCCTATCACACGCACCAATTCCGTCCGCACATCACTCCTACCATCGCCAGCCTCCACAGGCTTCCAATAACTGAGTCGATTCACTTCAAGATGCTGTCACTCTCTTTCAAATCACTTCATGCCCTGGTACCACTCCGACCACGTCCAGTCACATCCCGTACGCTCTGCCACTGTGAAGCTCTCTGGGAGGCCACCCTACGTAACACTATATAAGGCAAGTTGTTTTTTGGACGTTGTGCAGAGACCTCTGACACTGTGCTGCATTGATCCACTGTAAACATTCAGTGCATTTCATGCATTATAAACTATCTGGTTTGTTAAGCAGTTTATTTTCTGTTCTGTTTATTTAATGACAAGAACACGTGAGCCGTGAATACAGGCAGCGACTTGGAGATATTTGAAGAAATGTAAGGGAAATGTTACGATCTGAATCAAACCTACTTTATGTTCCTGCGGACTGAAACATTCCTTCTGTGTCAGCATTGAGCTGATGTCCTCTACGCGTTCCACTATGGCCTGTTCCAATCTGTCCCAGTAGAACTCTGTCAGTCTGTGCAGCTGGAGCTCGTTGTACAGGGCCAGGATCTCAGTGAATGAGGTGCTTGTAACTTCAGCGACTAATAAAAATATTATTCAGGCATTGATTTACTTTTATTCCCTGAAATATTTTTCAGGAAATTTTACCAAGTTTAACATAACAAAAACCCAGAATAAATGAAACTCCTTTGGCCTAAAGCACCATTTAGTAACTAGAATCATACTGCTGTCAGGCTGGCCCAATTGTTGTCATTCACACTCCTGAGAGAGAATGTTGTGGGTTCAAGCCCCACATCATCAATTGGACATCACAGACCAGCCTGACAATCCCTGAAGGAATCCCCTCTGGTTCTTTTGCCAATTATCTTAAATCTGTGGGCCCTGGTTACTGACGCACCCGCCAGTGGAAACAATTTCTCGCTCTCTGCTCTACCAAAATCAATAATCATTTTGACCACCACATTTGAATCTATTAAGATGAACGTATTCATCAGAGTCAGAAAATTGCTGGTTCAAGCCCCATAGCACGACTTAGACCGTGTATCCTCCAAGCTCTCCCACTGCAATGCAGGTCACTGATGGGATATCCCCCACTGTCAGCTGCCATCTTTCAGATGAAGCACTAAACTAAATTAAATTTGCTGCTGCTTTGGTGGATGATAAAGAATATAGCGTTTCTCCCGATGTCCTCGATAGCAACATTGTCCCACAAAAACGCTTTGTCTGCAGCGTTAATACCAGCTGATTTGGAAGTTTCTATTCCCCAGAACTGGTCTGTCACTGCGTGACCTTCCCATGTGCCAGGCTGGTCTGTCAATGCCTGACCTGCCCATGTGCCAGGCTGGTATGTCACTGCCTGACCTGCCCATTTTCCAGGCTCGTCTGTCACTGCTTGACCTGCCCATGTGCCAGGCTGGCCTGTCCTCACCAATGAATTGGTTCACGACCCCGTCCAACCAGTCCCCGAACTTCCCTTTCAGAAACTGGGTATTTGTTCAACTCAAATAGAGACTGACTTATCCCCCCCAATTCCGAGGCTTATAATCACAGAATAGAATCAAACAATTATACAGCACACAAGGAGAAAACTCGGCCAGCTCTTGAAAGACCTGTCCAAATAAATCCCGCACTCCGCATTGTCTTGTCCTCCCCAAATACTGTATAAAGATATGTGCGGTTTTTGTGTAAAAATGCGCGATAAAGAAACTTACCTTTTTTGTTTTTATCTCATTGAGACTTTCCTGAAAATCAGATAAAGAGAAGACATTGGCTTTCGATGAGTTGCCTGCTGTCTGACCCACACCACAGCCCATTGCTTTCACCTTTGCACTGGGTTCTGGTAAAGTCTCCATGGAAGCCATCTCAATCGACCCATCTAATTTGGTGGGACGCTGCTTTGGATCTGCAAAATTATTACCATGTAGTTTGGTAACTCCAGATGTTGTCGCTGTTTCATTCCCACCAGGAGTGGATGTGGTCTGTTGTGGTAAAGTTGACCATTTCATTAATTTTACAGACTTGCCGTATCCCGGTGCTTCAGAGCCATGTTTCCTCTTTCTCGACAGTTTTCCAAAAACGCGCTTCATCGTTGCTAAGCGCAGCGAAGCTCTTCTGAATTTTGCGACGGAAGTTGAGCCTTATTTACGTTTCGTGGAGCTCAATTGTTACAAGGCTAACAGGGAATCCAGACGTGATCTCTCAGGCAACACCACCAGGTTAGCGTTGCCAATTGACTGTCCGTCTTTCTCACATTTATTCTGACATGTATTCTGTAATGAATTAAATTGTATAAAGAACGTCAGGGTAACTATGAAAATCACAGGAGGAAAAGGTTATTAGAAACGTTAATGGGATATTATATAATAAGCGTGATTCTTGCATTTGATGTCGCATCTCATCTCGTCTTCGAGACTCCTCAAAGCTCCTCATAGAATGTAGTGTAAAAGGAATTGACAGTGATTTCGTGGGCGAAACGGGGCAGGCAATACGCAACGCAGCGTGCCACAAAAAGTCGGTGATTGAGTGACCAAATTATTATTTGATGGATAAATATCTCCGGAAAACGATCCGCCAATCGACTGGGTTCCCACTTACTGACATGTAACCAGAGTAGTGGGTGCGGATTATACCCTCACCTCAGGAAAGATGTCGTGACTCTGGAGGGCGTTCAGAGCAGAATCACCAGAATAATACCAAGGCATAAAGGGTTGAATAAAATGGAAAAGTTGCAATAACTTGTTCTCTAGTATCTTAAGTTCAGAAGGTTGAGCGCTGATCGGAGAGAGTTGTTTAAAATAATGTGGTCATTCGATAGAGTAGAAAGAGAGAACCTATTTTCTCTCTTGGGGTATGTAAGAACAAGAGATGTAATCTGAAAATGATAGCAACAACAACAACAACAACAAGATTCCATTTATAAAGCGCCTTTCACGTCAGGAGGACGTCCCAAGGCGCTGCACAGTTGGGTCATGATCCGAGCAGGGGGGAAATGGTCAGGGTGAGGGGAGGGAAGGGAGGGAGCGAGGAGGGGGGAAATGGTCACGGTGAGGGGAGGGAAGGGAGGGAGCAAGGAGGGGGGAAATGGTCAGGGTGAGGGGAGGGAAGGTAGGGAGCGAGGAGGGGGAAGAGAGTCGAGAGGGGAGCTGAAAGCACGGTCAAAGAGAAAGGTTTTGAGACCGGCCTTGAAGGAGGAAAGGGAGAAAGCAAGGCGAAGGCACTGGGGGATGGAGTTCCAGAGCCTGGGGGCTGAGAGGCTGAAGGCCCGACCACTGATGGTAGGGCGGTTGGGGCGGGGGACGTGGAGCAGACCGGAGCCAGAGGAACGGAGGGTACGGGCAGGTAGGTAGGCGGATAGTAGGTTGGAGAGGTAGGAGGGAGCAAGGCCGTGAATGGCCTTGTAGGTGAGGATGAGGATCTTGAAATCAATCCTCTGGGGGGTGGGGAGCCAGTGGAGGCGAGCCAGGGGGGGAGTCATGTGGTCCCGAAGCCTGGTGCGGGACAGTACACGAGCTGCAGAGTTCTGAATGACCTGCAGCTTGTGGAGGGAGGTGGCGAGAAGGCCGGCGAGGAGAGAGTTCCCGTAGTCCAGCCTTGAGGTGACAAAGGCCTGAACCAGGGTTTCAGCAGCGTGAGGGATGAGGTAATGGCGTAGTCTGGCGATGTTCCGGAGGTGATGGAAGGCGGTGCCAGTTGTGGTGCGGATGTGAGGGAGAAAGGACAGCTCAGGGTCGAACAAAAGGTCATTTAGGAGTGAGAATAGGAGGTAATTTGTCACCCAAATGCTGGTGGTAATCTGGAACTTCCTCTCTGTCTCCCCCAAAAGGTTGTGGAATATAGTTGAATCTATTCATATTTTCAAGATCGAGGTAAATATTTTCGGTTCAGGATATTTAGGGATTTGGAGCAAAGGGCAGGCAAAGCGACTTCAGTTACAGTACGACTGTGATCTGATAAAAAGCGGGAACAGGCTCGAGGGGCTGAACGGCCTCCTCATGTTCCTACGTCGATTTACCTATGTCACATTCCGGATTTATGCAACTTTAGACTTCTTATTAAAATGCACTGAGGCATCAATGGATAAACATTTCTTGCACTGCCTGCTCCATGACTGGCCTGAGTGAGATGTCAGAGGGTTTTCAGTCAACAACTAAAGCCCCAGCTTCTTGTTCTGCATCTGACTCGTTATAAACCAGGCGCTGAGATATCTAACCACAGGGGTTGTGCAGAACTGAACTCAGAGCCTCTTGTTACTCTCTGCTGCTGACAGTCACAGCATAACAAAAACAGCAACAACAACATTGATTTATATAGCGCCCTCCACGCCGGACTGAGTCTCAGAGCGCTTTACAGTTTCGCATCCCGGGACGGCGTTAGGGGGAGGGGTGGGAAGGTGACCAAAGGCGCGGTCGATGCAGTCAGATGCAGAACAAGAAGCCGGGGCTTTCGCTGTTGACTGAAAATCCTCTGACTTTTCACTGAGGTCAGTCATGGAGCAGAGAGCGCAATAAATGGTTATACATTTACGCCTCAGAGTATTTTAATAAGAAATCTGAATCTGCTTAAATCCTGAATGTGACATAGATTACATTGACTAAGAAACAGGAGGAGGCCATTCAGCCCCTCGAACCTCTTACCGCCTGAGAGGAAAGGCAAAAGTAAACAAGGAAATCAAACACAGCTCAAATGTTACATCAACCCATAGCAACAGCTCAAACTTGTGTTTCACTGACAATCGGACGGTTGAGAATGCGGATTTGGTGTCAATCTGTTAGTTTGAGCTCTAAAACTATTTTGTGTTCAGAGCATTTTTTATCACCAAAATCAGGGCGTTACCCGCACATCCCAGACCTAGTTTATATATTTCCTATCAGAAAAACAGCAGCGTTTCTACTAACACACCATTTCCTATCTCGGCCTCAGTGAGAGCCAATAAAGAGTAACTGACTGTAACACAGAGACAGATACAGACAAAGAGAGACAGAGATAAGCGGAGAGCGAGATACAGTCACAGAGAGATTGATGCAGAAACATACCCTCACATACATAGAGACAGACAGAGAGAAACACACACAGTGACACAAACAAAGATACAGGCAAAGGCACATAGAGACAGGTACAGCAGAGACGCCGAGAGAGAATCAGACGCAGAGAGAGAAACAGCAATTCACAAAGAGCAGGTTCCTACTCACTGCTAGATAAATGTTTGTGACTGAGTGAGGGACTTGGAGAATCTTCACGTTTTTCATCAGACGTGGGTGCTATGCATTCATTAGCTTCACAGTATATTACGAATAATATTTGTTGGACGCTACTGTGGACAATTAGCTGCCACGATTCTCCCAGAAATTAGCATTTGAATAACTTTAGAGTATAATCTGTGACGCGAGTTGAGACGTCTACAAGACGTGAGAAGGCGCTGTATCAAATGCAAGGATTATTATTAGAGTTTATTATATCAACAGAGGCGCGGGGGCTGTGTGTGTGTCTGTTTGGCTGTGGAGTAAGGAAACTTGCCTAAAGTTTAATCCTTCCCGCGAAACGATTGCAAGCTGAGGGCACCAGCCACAAAGCTTTCAACTTCGATTTCAAAATCCTCAGTCGTTTTCAAATCACTTAATTCTCTCCACACCTCCCAATCACTCCGACCTGCTCACTGCCCCACCCTCACCACCCGCTGCGTCTACTCAGACAGCCCCGGCCTCCTTTTTGTCCATCTCTCCACAGTCGATGGCCTTCAGTCATTGGGCCCCTCACTCTTTCCCTCAATCCCTATGTCTTGCCCCCTACCTCGCCACCTTCAAATCCTATCTAAATAACTTTTTTTCTTGATGGTGTTGAAGGTCATCTCCGCCCACACTCTTCCCCTGACTCATTGGCAAAGCTCCGAGAAGTTACACCGAATGGCGGGCGCTGTGTAAACCCAAGTTGTTGTTGTTGGTGGTGTAAGCTACAGGACTCCACAAACCTGCAGATGTCAGGCGACATGTTGCTGAGGTTAAACATTAAAGTCGCTGATGCCTTGAGCCTACCTTGGTGCAGATCGCTGTGTCCAATTGCTGACGGGGGTGAACTGTCAACTTCACTCTCTCTGAGCTGTCCATCTCCTGTTCGTAAAAATGGGGATGGTCGCTTGCTGGTTTTGCCTAGATATCCTCTGTCTGTCTGTCTGTCTGTCTGTCTGTCTGTCTGTCTGTCTGTCTGTCTGTCTGTCTGTCTGTCTGTGTGTGTGTGTGTGTGTGTGTCTGTCTGTCTGTCTGTCTCTCTGTTTGTCTGTCTGGCTGTCGTTCTGTCTGTCTTTCAGGTTCCTTATAACAGAATCACATTTCTGAGCTTTGATTGGCTGCAGTTCCTCACAAGCCCCTGGAAAGATCTGATTGGTTGTGATGAACAACACCAACAACAATTTACATTTACATTTACTTCGGGAGGACGTCCCAAGGCCCTGGTTTATCCGTGTTTCGGACCGCAGTTGGGTGTCGGGATAGTTAGGGTGGAGGGCGGGCTGGGTCTATGAGGGTTGTGGGAGGGATGTTCAAATGGGTGGAAGTGATGTTGGTCTTGAAGGAGGCAAGGGTGGGTTCGAGGCAGAGAGACTGCGAGATGCAGTTCCAGAAGGTGGGAGCGGAGTGGCTGAAGGCCCGCCCGGGGACGGGTGAGGCGGGGGGTTTGATGCAGGTCGCAGCCCGCTGAGCTAATGGAGCGAGCTGGATGATAGGGTGTTAGGAGGTCACAGACGTCGGGGGGAGCAAGGGACCTGGAATACAAAGTGGAAGACATTTTGCTTCAGCTGAATAGAGCGTCATTCAGAACCTATCTGGAGACTTCGTTCAGTTTTCGGCACCGCAGCTTAGGAAACATATATTGGCCTTGGTGGAGGAGAACCACAGGTTTACCAGAATGTTATCAGGTCTAAAAGGTTTAAGTACTGAGGGAAGGCTGCATAAACTTGCATTGTATTCCCTTGTGTTTACAAGGTTGCGGGGTGTTTTGATGGTGATATTTTAGATGATAAAGGGATTTGATCGGTTAGATACAGAGAACCTATTTCCTCTGGTGGGGCCATACAAAACAAGGCATAGTCTCAAAATTAGAAAAAGACCATTGAAGTGTGAAATCAGGAAGCATTTTATCACTCAAATGTTGGTAGAAATCTGGAATTCTCTCCCACAAATGCCGTGGATGTTGATTCCATCCACACCTTCAAGATGGAGTTTGATAGATTTTAGTTTGGTCATTAAGGAATGTGGGGAAAAAGCTGGAAATTAGAATT